ACACATACACAAAATGTAGGCCAGCTGTACTAAAGAAAAGTAGACATTAGCAGCAGTTGATTGATCAACGTGTAAAGATCAGGACACTGGAAATAGCCAGTCTTAGCTTCCTTGTCGGATGGTGCACAGTGATTCTCAAACGGGATCGGAATATCGATTTACCTTTTACGCGTTGAAATGTTTGGTGCCTTTTAATTTGAAATTTTTAGCCATTTTATTTATTTTTTAAAAATTGATTTCCCTCTAAAAGCGTCTGGAAACGTGATGGGATTTTGTAGTCTTCGATGAAATGGATTTAAAATATTTATTCAAGAGTCGTCCGGGCCGTAAGAGACCGGTGCGGTGGTGTGCGCAGGCTCATCGCGCAGATGCGAACCGGGCCCTGTCGGGCACGGAGCTGGCCTACAATGGACGTGACTCTCGTAGCGGTCCTAACTGCTGACGTTGTAACGCGGCCACTGACACGGTAGAAAACTCCCAAATCGCCGAGTGCCTGGATGAAGAAAAAAAAAAGGGAGGGGGTTGGGGGGGGGGGAAGGAGGGCTTGACCGTTCGAACCCGGAAACCTGTGTTAACAGTTTTATTTACGGTGACGTCCGCTTAATAACGGCTCGCACGTGGTATGGCTAGAAAAGTTTATAAGAATCCCTAAATAAGGCTCAAGCTTTCAAGAGAATGAATCATATTCAAGGTTCGGTATACAAAAAATAAACCACCAAAAACAAATGGAAAAGAAGAACCCACCCNAACTCATACAAGCTAAATGGTCACAGATTAATGAGGCATCTCAAGAGTAAACAAAAAACAACTCATACAAGCTAAATGGTCACAGATTAATGAGGCATCTCAAGAGTAAACAAAAAACAACTCATACAAGCTAAATGGTCACAGATTAATGAGGCATCTCAAGAGTAAACAAAAAACAACTCATACAAGCTAAATGGTCACAGATTAATGAGGCATCTCAAGAGTAAACAAAAAACAACTCATACAAGCTAAATGGTCACAGATTAATGAGGCATCTCAAGAGTAAACAAAAAACAACTCATACAAGCTAAATGGTCACAGATTAATGAGGCATCTCAAGAGTAAACAAAAAACAACTCATACAAGCTAAATGGTCACAGATTAATGAGGCATCTCAAGAGTAAACAAAAAACAACTCATACAAGCTAAATGGTCACAGATTAATGAGGCATCTCAAGAGTAAACAAAAAACAACTCATACAAGCTAAATGGTCACAGATTAATGAGGCATCTCAAGAGTAAACAAAAAACAACTCATACAAGCTAAATGGTCACAGATTAATGAGGCATCTCAAGAGTAAACAAAAAACAACTCATACAAGCTAAATGGTCACAGATTAATGAGGCATCTCAAGAGTAAACAAAAAACAACTCATACAAGCTAAATGGTCACAGATTAATGAGGCATCTCAAGAGTAAACAAAAAACAACTCATACAAGCTAAATGGTCACAGATTAATGAGGCATCTCAAGAGTAAAAAAAATAAAAAAATTGAATGATATAATGGTGGGCTGCATTTGAAAAGTCCATAGCCCCGCAAAATGTTTAAGCATTCGTTTTAGGGTTGGGGGGGGGCTGGGGTGGGGTGCTGGGTGGGGGGCTGGGTGGGGTTTGGAGTTGGGGGCTGGGGTGGGGCTGGGTTGAGGGGCTGTGGTGGATGGCTGGGGTTAGGGGCTGGGATGGGGGCTGAGGCTGGGGTTGGAGGCTGGGGTTGGGGGATTAAATTCGATCAAAATTCATATTTAAATTTCACATTAAACAATTTTCCTCTTTACTCATTATTTGTCTTGTTTTTTTTTTAAAGTTAAAAAAAAAATATCCTTATGTTTTTTTTAGTGCTGTGTTTGCTAGTGAAGGCGTTTAGCCGATACATTCTTTTGCTTGCGGCCTATTTTAACTTACGCCATAAAATATTATCTTGTTGTCACTGTTTCATGTCAGTTCACGATCACATTTTCGTCGGTAGTATCCAATCTCTATTCTACATAGGCTGTAGCATGCAATTCCAATTCTTAATAGATAGTATATAGCATCTAGTCACAATTTTATATAGATAGTCTGTAGCATTCACCCTCGATTCTATTTAGACGGTCTGTAACATCGAATCTCGCTTCGACATGACCAGTCTGTAGCAACCAATCTCAAGTCTATATACCATGTAGTATCCAATCTCGATTCTATATAGATATTCTGTAGCATTACAATCTCTACTATAAAATGTGAACGTTTGAACTCGATACATTAGCTGGGCCTCGAACGGTATTCTTTTGCTCTCCCATAACCACCATTGTGTCTAATATTTGACTCTACTGATTTTCCAACGTTATTTAAAAGTGGTTTTCCCGCTATCAAACATTTGAATTAATTTGTGTGTCTGCTTTCTTCTTCTTTTTTTTTGGGGGGGGTGGGGCATTCATAAATGTATCACAGTGCACCGATTGTTTCAGCTTCAAAATTATTTAGCAACAGAACTAGGCTTAAACATTTCTTTTTTTAAAAAACAAGAGCATATTATGACGCTCTGTGTTTCTCAACATTGATTCCCAGCTCCGTAAATGAGATCCAATGATACCGGTTAAACCTTCGCGAGGGCTTATTTCCTGGACGCTAGCATCAAATGGACGTAACGATAAAAATGTTGTCTTCTGTCTGTATAATCTGAGCATGTCTGTGTGAGAGGTCTGGTGATTATACCCCTTTGTTGCTATGCGCGGGCCCCCCCCCCCTCCCTTTTTCCCTTTTACCCCGGCTAACAGAAATTTTTTGTGGCCTGCACTAACCCTTCTGTGGACCATCACATGCGACACTCCTCATGGCGGACGGCCATCTTATCCAGGGGGTTGGGAGACTTGCGACCCACGGGCAGCATGCAGGCAGCTGAAACGTTTATTTTCAGCCCTCAAGACCCTCCGGTGATCGGGAATTTAAATTTAATTACCATTAATTCTTTTTTTTTGGGGGGGGGGGGGGTTTTTTTTTACGAACAAA